ACGTGTATGTACATGTACATGTGACGTGTATGTACATGTACATGTGACGTATCTCTAAAGTAAGCACGAAAAAAATTAGATAAGATTCAGCTGTGCTTGTGTTTTCCGCACGCGTTGCCGTTGCTCACCACCGGGTGGCGCTGCGTTTCAGCGGCCGTCTTTGAGACGATCCCCGTCGTCGTGTTCGGCACGGTGAAGCTGAAGCACATGCGTATCCTAGCAACGCTCAGCGGACTGAAGCTGGACGCGAAGGTCGACAACATCCACGCCAGCGTCACGCACAAGCTACGCCTCAAGGGTGCGCCACCGGTCGCGACCGATATATATATATACAAACATAAATAACCTTGTTGCTATCCTGAAGAAGAGACGTGGTTCCAAGACCCTGCTGTTATAATCCGTTATTGTATATTATACGGCACCCATATTCCTACGCTTGGTTTTTGTTATTAAATTTTTCTATGTAGTTTATTGTTTCTATATATATACATATATATAGGTATATATATATATATATATATATATATATATACCTATATATATATATGTGTGTGTGTACGGTGTTCTCCGCTTGCAGGCATGCCAGGTAAAAAGGTTAAGGAGTCGTCCCTCAGTGCTTTCATAGGCAACACCCTGATAGTGCTTCTGGAAGGAGTGTTACCCAGCCAGCAGTAAGTTGTCTCTGTGTGGGAACAGCAACTACCCGGGTAGAGTCATTTTGTTGTATGTGGGTTCCCGGATATGTTCAGGAAGTTTGTAAGAGATTTTGATAGAAGATTTGAAATGGGTGCCGATATTATTCAGGGAAATTAGCATCAATGTGTCATTTTCATGCAATCATTTGTCTAGCATCAAAATTGCATTATCGTCCTCCTTCCCTTTATTTCTTCTTTCCTCCCTTCCTCCTACTAACCCTCCCTCCCTCTCTCTCTTTCTCTCCACCATCTCTCCTGTTTTGCTCTTCCTCTCTCTCTCTCTCTCTGACTCCCCCCTTTTCCTTACTTTTCTCTCTCTCTTTCTCGCTCGCTCTCTCCCTCCCTCTCTCACGCTCTCTCTCTCTCTCTCTCTCTCTCTCTCTCTCTCTCTCTCTCTCGCTCTCTGTATCTATCTCCCGCTCCCTCTCCCTACACTCCATCGTGTCTCACCACTGGCGCCCCCTGCAGGACGGTGGTGAGCGTGCGTCTCGCTCGCTCTGACCTCGTCGCGTCGTCGCTGTGTCGTCGCGGCGGCCGGGAGACGAATCACGCGACGGCGTCGCTCGGTGCGTTGACCTTTGACATCCCGCATCACCCGGTGATCCTGCACAGCATGATGACGCGAGGCAGCAAGCAGCTGTCCACCACGCTCAGGGAGTTCCGTCGCACAGCTTAC